GTAAATTCTCGGTATCGCACCTACCAAATAAAACGGTTTGTACGCGTTCCAACGTACATTTCATGTGACTATAAAATAATGTGTGTATATGTACACCTATATATATATAGGTACATTAAAATATTGTGGAGTGTGTATACTCGCGTGCCATACCTAAGTTGGTAAACACACAAAAACACATAATTATTTTATTTTCGTAGTTAGGTTATTGTGTGTTTTGTTTCTAAGCACACACACAAACGACCGAACAGTATGTATGTATATAATATAATATAGTGGTACTTGTGTGAATATTGATAAATATATAATATTATATTACCGAGAGAGCTTCCCGGGGTAAAACGGTCTTGGTAGTTTTGCAATGAAATTAATAATCTTCAACGACAATAATATGTCATTAAGTGTGCACAGTGCAAATAAGAAATAATTTCAGGAGAAGAGATGCTGAAGCCCGTCTTGTAACAAATTTTTTAACATGCATTCGCATAGTTTCCATAAAAAAGAGAAGAATTATTGAAAATTTGGATAGTCCATTTTTTTGTTTTAATTGAATATAACTTACTGAAAATGAAGTAACAGTTAAACAAAAAAAGGCGTTATTACCGTTCGTTTTAATATGTACTTTCGTTTAAGACATTTTTTTTTTTAAATGAACTATTTAGTGGGAGGAAAGGGGTTGTTGGTCGGTTTGGTTGTGAAGTAGTATTGTGTTATTACTCAAAATGTATAATAACATTAAATAATTAGATACCTATCCACTTTTTTTTTTTTGTATGTTGAAATATTTAAATATTCTTAATGCTAATATATTATTAGTTATTTTTATGGATGACAGTAAATCGAACCGCTTCGTTTCTAGTTAATGGTAACTTATATCGGTCCTAGATTATTGTAATGACCAATGTCCGTTCTCCATTAGTAAATACTAATGATACAATAATGTAATTATGCAATAATTATGTACGATAATTTTGTTGTAAAATAAACACAAACCTAGCCGAGGAAGGCAGGCATTGGTCCATTTTAAATGTTTACAATCTTGTTACAAATCTAAAATCTACGTGTTGTCATGTTTGTTATAATATAGTCTTCAAAAACAATATTCAACGACCAATATAATAACATAATCTGGCATTGCACAAGCATTAGCGTTTATCCTATACTACTGAGAAGAAAATATCGATCACTGTTCTTGTATTTGCTTTTATAAATAAAAATAACCTAACCTAACCGATGTATCGATAATACTGCGGCTTGTTGTCTGACAGTAGCCCAAATTTGTAAGTAATTTAAACAATAATAATAAGATATGCAAGAGAAAATTTAAGACCCGATTGAATTAAAAAAAAAAAAAAACATAGAAAAAGGTCAAATTTTGTTGTAGTAATAAAAAAATATCTGTACTATACTCGCTCAAATATATTCTAGGGAGGGATGGGTTTGATTCTTGAAGACATTTTGGGGAGAATAATATAATATATTCTTTAATAGTCATCTATTTGGTACTGGAATAGAGTAGACATTTTTTTATTTTTAAAGTAAAAACGATTTGTTCTTTATTCAATGATTTTACCTGATTTTTTTCAATTTAATACATTTTTTCTAATAGTTCAATAAACTTTATTTGATAACAGCTATTGATAAATTACATTTAATAAAAATATGAGTCGATCATTGATCAATGAAAGTAGTAATTAATTATTCAACGATTCCCATTGTTCCTATTGCATTTTTATTCGCCAATAATCAAATAATATTATTTGAATAACTTTACTATAAAAATGTTTATTCATTTTTAATATTTTTATTCATTCATTTTAAACTTAATGCAAATTACAACGCCGAAAATATTGTACACGCTATTTACAATAATAACATAAACTGATGAGAAATACTGATAATAAGTAGTTGATTGACAATGGTCGGTGGTCATAACATTATAGATGTGAGATGAGTGATCAAATTTCTTTGACCACACTGTTAAACAGAAGGATTATGTTTTTCATTTTTTTGGCCATACTAACATAAGATTATTGAAGTTTGTTAAAATGTATTATTAATTTTTAAATTAGGTATTTACAATATATTTCACATTGTTTATTTTCAATATTCACGTATAATAAAATATATATTATACTCACGAGTTCAATTTTTCGCTGCCGTTTCGAACCAACTACATTTAGTGATAAAGTCAATGTCCATTGGTCTACAACCACACGGTCTAGCAGCTTTAACAATAGTGTTATACTTTAAGACCTCAACTATACGATGATGCATACAGTAGGTAATAATATCTAACTGACCATGCGGATTTATATTGTTGTTAAATGTTAATAGTAATATTAAATATACACCCCGTTGGTTTGTTTATTAAAAATTAATGATTTCAGAAAAAGAAAAAAATATAATTACAAATACATATAATAATTATATATTCTATTTCATTTACAAATATTATAAATAAGTACACTCAATATACATTTTACACAATAGGTAATATATTTTTACACGATAATATGAAATTTTACAAAATAATAATATATTTTTTACGTATTTTGTTTTTCAACAATTTACATGAATATTATAAGATTAATTATTACTGCTGACAATTCTTTTAACGTTATCGCCGTGAGAGGTAATTTTCAACTTTAAAAAGAATCAAAACATATCTCAGAGAAACTCTGAAAGTCTAGCAGACACTAGACTAAATGGTTTATCAGTATCGGATATTCACCGTGAAATTAATAAGTTGATATAGATGACGCCATAAGAGAGTTAACAGCGTCGTACCTGCTAAAGTAATGCACGGCATTAAGTTTTGCAAAACGAACTTGACGAACTTGACGAACGGCTTTAAATGCACACTTTATCTCTTCGACGAATTCGTCAGCGTCCGGGAACATTTTTTCAGCTTTTACGTTTCTTAACGTTTTATAGACCCTATAAAAATTGATGTGTAGCAATAATTCGTGATTTTACCGACACTCATTAAGTGTTCAAACGTCAAAAATACCCATTGACCACTGTTGATTTGTCCAGAACTTTGGCCTGGACCAATTCACCCAACAGTGTACCAACTCGTGTACGGGTGTACTTGTCACGACCGAATGCAATCATAATGATGACAACGATAAATGCGTCGTCGCCGAATTTTTGCCAAAATCCCGTGTTTTCTAATAACACCTGAGCGCATCTCTGCAATAACAAATACTTATTACAAATTGTATTACCGATAGAAATTAATTGACAATATGAAATTAATCTATAACAGCCCGTAACTTTCATTAGACGGCACTGTTGGCAAAATATGGTTTCTGATCATCAAGAAGACTAACCTTATAACACCTGTCTCTCAAATAGAAGTTGATGACCTTTTCTGTGATGTCCCACAGTGGACTGCCTGGGTCATCCGGCGAGACTTGAATGAGTTGGTTTTCAAACTTCAGTTGGTTAAATGTACCACTTACACTGTTCGACATTTTTAATGGATTTGTATTAATAGAAAAATCACAAAAAAATAATCTGACAATTATAATAATTGACCAACAAAAGTAATAATTGACTACGTAAACAAAGCCTGTATTTATATAGTAACGGATACTAATATTACTTTTTATCTGTACAAATTATTTTTTTATACCAGCATGTAATATAATTTTGAATAATGATTAAAATGAATATAATTGAAAAAGTATCAAGCTGTTATAACTATCAAAGTTATTTTGAAAAATTTAACATTATTCTAGTAGACTGAAGTATTTTTAAATCTTATTTTTTTATAAAATTACTATAATATCATATATTTGCCATTCGTTTAGAATATATATTTTTAAAAAAGGATGAATATTTTTGTGGTAGATTAGTTAAATCATTTAAAGTTAAATTTTAACTTGCTATCTCTATTACTAACAAAAGAGAAAGTCTAAAAGTCAATCCAATAATTTATCATCCGATCTCATAATTGGACGCCTAAACATTTTATGTATTATAATTTCATAATACTATTAGTTATGAGACCACATTATTTTTATGTATTACAAAAAATTTATTTATTTAAAAAAACTATTTTAAAAACATGCTTCTCTAAAAAAAAAAAAAAGTAAAAAATAATTTTATAACAAGAACAATTTACCAATAAATTGTAGCATATTTTATTTAAAATGTCAATTACTTTGAAAACAACCGAATATTAACTACAATTTAAAATAATGTTAAACATCTTTTATTTTTGACTAAAAAGAAAAGCGTGGGCCCTATTCAACAAAGTTCCTAATACATTTATTATATAATGTTTTATATTGTAAGTTTAAATTACAAAAGAACTTACAATAAAACATTATTTAATAAATGTATTAGGGACTTTGTTGAATAGGGCCCACGCTTTTCCTTTTAGTCAAAAATAAAAGATGTTTAACATTATTTATAATGTAAAAAATTATTTTTATACATTTTCTTTGTTATTTTGTATTCCAATATAAGTTGCTCAACAATACCATACAATTTTTTTCCTATTTTAAAATTTTATCTATTGCAATCGTTTGCAAAAGATTTAAATTTCTTTTAGAAAAGGGTAGTATTTTTGTTTGTATTACTTTCTTATAATTATAAATATAATTAATAATTTACTGAACAATTGTGTGAAAATGCAAAACAAGCCAGTCAAAACATTAAAACATGTCGTTTTTAGACAAATTATTTTAAATAAAATTTTAACTGTAAATAATTTAGCTTTTTTAAAAATTTAAGATATCCATTAATCTATGGGCCGAGGCTCATATGGAGGGGGGGGGGACTCGTGAGTGTCCCATGGATTGGTCCAGTGTACTTATAAGTAGCCTTTCAATTCTTAACCTGTCAGTTCACAATATCCTCTCCGTTCACTTTGTCAGAAAACTTACAATTTATACGATAAATTAAAAAAAAAAAGATAATAAGTCATACTTTGATTTGTCATAAATCAAGCTCAATCAATGCCTACAAAAAAAAAAAAAAACCAACTATTTGTTTGGTAAGTATAGGTGGTATATTCGTATGTTTTGGGTTGTTCGAAAAACGTTTCATCGTTCCGCGACGATAAATGTTATTAATGTTTAAATATCTATCGATAACAAAAAAATGTGCAGTCTAATATACAAATTTAATAAGAAAAAAAAATACAATAATAATAATAGTAACAACTTGTGCAAGAATATCCTTGAACAGACGAGACACGTATACATAAATGTTTAAAATTTAAACACATTGAAAATAATACTGCGTTTTCAGTCGATGGGCATATCGTTTAAATATTATAAAAGATATAATGTAAAGATATATATATATAAGTAAGGGGAGGGCAAAATTAAACGGTTGACTATAAAAAAAAAAAAAGACAATAATAATAAATAATATGAACACAAAAAAAAAACCACTTGTGTCGAATAAAAATTGTAGGTAAATTTCGATATGATAATAAAATGTCTGTTGTTATAAAAAAAAAATAAACATTTACTGTCACGCCGACAGTCTCTCCTATGTAGTGCTGCCGATACCGTGTGCTCGTCGTACATCGATAATATATTTTATCGAATTTAATTTTATAACGCGTTTGTTTGCTTTTAACATACTTAAAGAAAATTCAAAAGCCGAAAAAAAAAATAATACAAAATCAAATAAATTTATATATCTTATAAAAATATAAAAAAATTTAAATTGAGATCAAGCCGATGGGTTTTTCTTCATTAGTGCTAGATCGGCTTCCATCATGTCGTATACGAGTTCCTGAGGGAAAAGAAACAAGTTAAACATTTTTAAAAATAACAATTTTAAACCACATACGAATACTACTTGTTAATTTTTTTTAACTACACTTTTTATTAGTCCAAAAAAATTGTTACTTAGAGTGTTAAGTATACAAATTTATTAAATTATGACTACATTTAAATGGCTTCCAATGTATTATTATCGTTTTAAATTTAGTTTATTAAATATATTTTCTCAAAAACAGTTTCAGTTTGTTAAACAAAAACTCTTATTAGAAATGGCAAACAATTATTTAAAAATGGGTGAAATTTCTTTTTAAAAAAAGTAAGATATATTTTAAAGTACAATTTTTGGAATAAGTCCACTCTTGGAGATAAAAAAAAAAAGTTTGAATCTGTATTTAAAAGTTCTAAGATAAATATGAATGTGGACTAAAAAAAGAACCAATCAGAAAGCTAAACCATTCCTATAAAAATTTCACTGTTTGGACAAAACACTTTTCATCATGTCTTGGCGTTTATGCTCACTTCGAAATTCACTTTAGGCGTCCATCCCAATAAGTTTTTGGCTTTGGTGGCGTCGCCCAGCAAAAGATCCTGAAAGAACCAAAAATTAAAACAAATTAGCACAACAATAAATTACAATAATTATATTTTTGAACAGAGCTAGACAAGTTTGTGCATTTTTTACATTAATATTTATACAGTCAACATCAACTGGTTGTTGTTCTCACCGGCCACAAGTTACAACATAAAAAATAATGTTAGATCTCTAATGAAATATATTATCAAAATGTGTGTGTTGGTCATAATTATTTTCTGTATATAATACACTGTTGATCTGATGTCGTCCCCCATTACAATAATTTGCTTTGTCTTCACTATTTTTTTTTTTTTTTTTAATGTTTTCTTAATCAATAAACGGTCGAAACGATTGTCTTTGTTGTTTTACGCCCGCCGGATGTATTTTATTATTATTTTTTTTTTATAACAACAACACAATAATAATAATAATATCTACAATAATAAACTGGGGCCAGCCGGCGCACAATTTGTAAACAAAACTAATATAAAAAAAAATGTTCTTTTATTATAGTGTATAAACAATATCATACATATACTGTGTGCGCATAATAAAATAATATAATTCAATATTAGTTTGTTTTTGGTCGAATAAACACAGATCAAACACAACAAATACAATATGTACCCTATCCCTCCATCACAGTAATAATAATGTAATATGCACTCAACATAGACAATCAACACGAGATAAACCGCCTTGACAAACATTGAAGTACTTTTTTTCTCGTTTAATTATATTAATCGAAACCAAATTAATTATTAAAAATAAATCAATAACCATATTAAACGGATATTGTGTGCAATTCTCGATTGTCGACAAAACAACAAAACAATGATACCTACTGAAATGAGTAGGTAATAATAATAATTGAAAAATAAAAAAATGGGTTTCAAGTCGATTGTCCAAGGTAGAAATTAATAATTTATTAACGACTTGTAGGGTAAAAAAAAATATACAGCAATTAATATTATTCCAATCGATGATATATTAATATATTAAAAAAAACACACAAGTTAAACGAAAAATAATTTTCTGACCTGTCATTTTTTTTTTTAGTATTCAATCGACTCTTATTTGATAGGATTTACTTGAGCAAAAATTCAATTTACAGCCTAAACTATATTGTGTATCATAATACTAGCACAGTATTGAGGATACTTTATTGGTAGTGAATATATTTTTTTTAACCATACTATCCCATCAATAATGATTCTAAAAAAACAGCCTCGAGTCTTTTAGTACTACTTTACCAAAAAAAAAAACTTTAGATAGAAAATATTTTCTTAGCTTTTTGGAAAAACTGCATCCCCTTCGAAGAGATTTTTAGTACTCATTTTTTTCTAGACAGGATTTTACAGGCAACTTAGAATTCGTCGATAGGGTTTTAAATTGGTATTACTTTTTATACAGGGTGATTCTTTTATCACAGGCTACTCAATATCTCATAGGGTTTAATAAGAAATTACATTTATTTTTTTTCATGTGATTTTATACAATGTGATCTCAATTACTACTAATAAACAGACCTTAAATATAAATACTCAAAGTGTTAAGTACGACGACAATCACACAACGTTTGTTTTATAGTCAAGAAACATATTTCGAGATAAAAACAGTACTTACAACTTCGGTCGGTCGAAAATACTTCGGATTCACCCTGACGCGAACGATGTCAGTCGACTCTTCTTTACCGACTTCATCGGTACCCTTACCTTCCCAAACGATTGTTTTGCCGATGTGTTGGAACGCCTTTTCGACGAATTCTCTAATACTGTGCGTTTTTCCAGTGGCTATGACAAAATCTTGTGGCGTGTCTTGTTGTAACATCAACCACATGGCCTAATGAATAAAAATGATAAAAAGAATTATACAATTTTAATGTATTTCAACTTGGGTGTATAGCTGAGAATGTATTGTTTCTGACAACCATGTGTATTTTGTTTTTAAGTCTGGACCGATTTCTTTTCGTAGCAAGTCTATAAATCAGTAATCGTGCCAGAAAGATACTTGATAAGGCAAAAACTGGAATACCTATACTTTTGTCTAATAGTTTTTTTTTTCCATTTAAAGTTTTGCATTGAAGCGTTCTCCCTATATTCTCACTGCGCCGCTAGCAATGTATTCACCTCGACATAATCTCTGGCGTGTCCCCAGTCGCGTTTTGAATCTAAATTTCCCAACTGAATGCAGTCCAATAGACCCAGAGCTATTTTGGCGACGGACCTGGTGATTTTTCTTGTGACAAAGTTTTCGCCTCTCCTTGGACTTTCGTGGTTGAACAAAATGCCGTTACACGCATACATATTATAAGCTTCCTTGTAGTTTGTTACGATCCAATACGCGTACAATTTTGCACAAGCTATAAAAAAAATGTACACAAATACGTTTGTAATCAGATGTGATAATAAAATATACTATCGTTTAGCGGCAAATTGCTACTTGAAAATACAATTTGACTAATATTTACCGTACGGCGATCTCGGATAAAAAGGAGTCGTCTCTTTTTGAGGTATTTCCACGACTTTTCCATACAATTCTGACGTGGAAGCCTGGTAAAAACGAACGTGAGACTGAAGTTCACAAGTTCTTATGGCGTCCAACAGTCTGAGTGTACCGACGGCGTCTACTTCGGCGGTATATTCACTCAGCTCGAACGAAATCTGAAGAGCAATAAACTAAAATGAGTTATTTAAAAATAGTAAAGATACATTGTTTTAGAATAAAATTACAAATAGTTTATTTACATTATTTTTTTTATTTTAAATTAATAAATGTATAATTAGTAACTTTTTTAGGCATTAGTGTTTATCTTGTTCCGTTTAAAACTATGAGTATTAAGTTGAAAACTAAACAATTTTTTGAAAAACAATAACTTTTTTTTGTAGCTCTACACTAATTGCATGAAAGAAAAATATTCATTCTTGGGCAGTGACGCTAAAGGTTTGAAATACTTCTTAAACAAATTAGCAAAAGTAACGGCTCTTAAATCAAGAACAAAACTCAAAATTAATATTATCTAAGTAGAAGATTATTGGATAATAACAAGACTATAGGTAGTTTTATTCTAATGTTGTTACAAACTCGTTTTAAACTTACCTTAACGTGACTCTGAGCTGCTAAATTATAGATTTCCGTAGGTTTTACCGATCCGATTATTTTCACTAGGCAACTACTGTCGGTCATGTCTCCGTAGTGCAGTTTCATTTTGCCTTCTCTGTGCGATTGCGGATCGAGATACAAATGTTCTATGCGACTTGTGTTGAAAGTACTCGAGCGTCGTATGATCCCGTGTACCTCGTAGCCTTTGTCCAGCAACAGCTCGGCCAAATACGACCCGTCCTGTGAAAATAGCCCAAGTGAAAATATATGAGCATGTTTTGTTTGCGTTACGCCTTCGACACGTACCTGTCCGGTGATGCCCGTGATCAACGCTATTTTCCTGTTGTTTGCATCTCCGTTACTTTCGGCCATCGTATTTTATTCTATCTAATAACAAATAGGATTTGAACAGTTTTGTAGGTGTGTTTATTAAACGGTGTTGTCGAAGACTCTTTCCGTAAAAGACGACAAAATAGTAAATACCATTGTTTCTTGTTTTTTGCTTTAAAATTTTCGGTTATACTTAAAAAAAACTGTATGTATACTTGAGTTTTTTTTTTTTTCAAGTAAACTAAGTTAAAATAAAAATAAAAACCTAAAGTTTATTGAACCTAATCGAGCACAATATAATTTTATATTATATTATAAAGCAGTAAACACACCGTGTCCGATGGGTATCCTACCTACAGATATAGATAACAATAACAAGATATTGTTATCTATCTGTATCTGCGTTATCACAGTTGATTGGTGATAACGGTGACCGGAAGCGATACATTTTGAGACACCCTGTTTGGTTGCTTAAAGTTCCGTGTTATAGTATTTGATAAGCTTTTAATAAAAAAAATAAAATAAATACACAGAAAATCGCTTAGTCTGCGCAAAGATATAAGAGTCGAGCGTTTTTTTTTTACATTTTAATTTCAAACAAAAGGGTTTAAGTGTGTTTGTTACACGCGTTTGTTTCGAATAAAATCTTTTGCCTTCGAAAGGGCCGTTTCGCGAAAACTATGTGTTGCAGTTTAGTTGGCCATTACAAGTAGGTAATACAAAAAAAAAGTACTCATATGAGAATAACCTTTTTTCCTTTGTAAATTGAGATTGCACTGTTAACACACGACGTTGTGTTCGTTTTCTCGGTTGCTGTTAGACTGACGGAGGCGTATGAATTTGCCGTCGAAGATTGAATATGGAATGGATACGGCAACGTCTGAAGTGTTGTTGCTGAGCGAAGACGACAGCGGCTTGCTGGTTAATTGCTCGTACTTAAACAGCTCGGGCAGCTGTACCAGCTGCGAAATTCGTTCGTTGAGTATTCATAAGGTATTATTTATGCTGCGGCGTACAATGGCCCACTTAATATTCTGTAAGCGTTTGTACCTGGGGCAAAAAATGCCTTGGTTAACTAAACAAAGGTTAATTATCTTTAATTGGAATCTATTCTTTTGACTTGTTGTTTGCATAAAATATATATATTTTTTTTGTTAAAAGAATAATGGTGCTTAATAAGATATGTGGAGCATACAAGTAGGTACTTGTTATTTTATGATAATTATTGAAATAAACGAACGAGTAATGAAATATGTTTTACAATATATTATTAAAGATTTTCCAATATGTTAATATTTTATGTTTTTTAATGGAAATTAAAAATTTGATAACGTCAAATCATATACATTAAAGGACCTTTTTAGTCGAGTGAAACAATGTATAATATATGTTTTATTTTTAGGACAAAGGCGGTGGTGACGACGACGATGATTTATCGTTATGTAAAGACGAATCTCTTGTCGATGACTCTGGTTCGTCGTCGCTCAATCAACATTTCGGTACTTTGAAAAAATGTCCGATTGTCCAAAAGCCCACAAATGCGATCAAGCCTCCAGTGGAATTTCAAGACTTGCCGTGCAGTTTCGTTGACCTTTACTCGCCACCATTGGCCTTCAAAGACAATGAATGTAGCTACAGTAAATCACCCGTGTACACCAACGACTGTGTTGTCCGCGTCGAGAGATATGCTGAGGGTTTTGTGAGATCGTTAATCAACGATTCATTGAAAAACCTGTGTCCAGTGAACGATAGCGGGTGAGCAGGTTTTTAAAAATTATATATTTTCATTTAATTTGTTTAATCTTCATTGTTTTTAGCTATTTAAAACAACCAAGACTGTATCGTGATTTGGGAGTTTATTGGAAAACGAATTATCATCGCCCGCTTTCGAATGGATCACACAATTCCTTGATGTCGACGATATCGTCGTCTCACAATTCTCTATTGAATGTCGGCTCCTCGGACGATTCAAATTTTATCTCTTCGGCCGTTTCACACGAAGCTCTGAACAGCAATACATGTACATTGCCGATTGACAGTTCGGCTTTTAACATCGCCTTTCGACGGCCTCTGCGAAAGAAACGAAAATTACGTCGCCAAAGTCGTTCTGTGTCTCCCAGTAAAAAGTGAGTACTATTTTCTCAAGATAATTGCTCTATGTTGTATTCTTGAAAAAAAAATATTTGCGTCCGATTGTAAAGGTTTTGGTGAAGGTTTGTAAACCCTAACCGTTATTTACCGTTTCAGCTTTTTCGTTTCTTAAGCCAATAACTTTTTTAAATTTTATGCTAAAATTAATTGGGGGATGAAAATACAATTTATGTAACGTTTTAAGCTACATACTCAGAGTATTCTACATATCATTATGTTTTATGTGTTATTCAGGCAAAATGAAAAATGTATCAACGTTGAAGAAGAGGAAAAAGAAGAACCTATTCATATGACCCTTAAAGACGTGAGGACTATACTTCACAATTATTTTACCAATTCGGCAGAATGTAGTAAACCTGTCGAACACATAAACGTATCAAAGTGTACAGACAATGACGTTCATAACAAAGAAAATTGCGTCGGCAAAGTGTCGGCGTCGAAATGTAAACTCAGAAAACACACGTTTCCGGTGAACACCAAGTATAAAAAGACCAAAGACGACGCATCAGACGATACCAACGGTTGCGGCGCCAGCAACACGCCGAGGAAGATATTTTGTTCGTCGTCATTTGTACCGTCTTCGAAATCAAACTTTTCGTTTAGCCTAAAACAAACGTTTTGTAATATATTTCGATCACGCAAGAACGCCACATCGGACTCTGACCCCGGTTCCAATCTCGCAGACACTGTTGTCCTTTTGGACGTGACAAAAGGAACGTCGATCGAGAAACGGGCTCTGCCGCCAGTGCCCAACGATGGGCCCAAGGACACGTACGTGCGTGAGGCCAGCATGGACTTTGCCACTAGCATAGAAAAAGTCAAAGACGTTAGTGTGTTTCATTTATCGGTTAGGTCTATATGTGTGTTTGTTAATTTAACGTAAATAAACAATTTTAGTACGGCTGGTATTGGGGACCGATATCGGGCGAAGCAGCAGAGAAAATCCTGTCTTGTGAACCGGACGGCTCGTTCATTGTGCGCGACAGCAGCGACGATCATTATATATTCTCGTTGACTTTCAAGTTGAACGGTTTCGTTCGACACGTCCGGATCGATCACGACCACGGTAACAACACGGAACCGTTTTATCGCCCGTGACCGTTAGATAAACATTTTTAAAAAAAATTTTTGTTTATTTCAGGTAATTTTAGTTTTGGCAGCTGTACGAAATTCAAAAGCCACACAATCGTCGAGTTTGTCGAAAACGCCGTGGAACATTCGCGCAGCGGACGGTATTTATTTTTTTTGCACAGACGGCCGGTACTGGGACCGATGAGAGTTCAGCTTCTTCATCCGGTGTCTCGTTTCAAACAAGTCCAAAGCTTACAACACATGTGCAGGTAAACGGGTCGAATAATAATTATTAGCACTGATGGCATAGCATGTAAAATATGTAATTTCAAAATAATGAATTCATATAATATTAATAACGATAATGTGTATATACCGACTTGTCCTTAGATTCGTCATATTGAAGACGATCAGACGAGATTTGATCATCGAGTTGCCATTGCCACGTCGTCTAGTCGATTACTTGAACACTCCGCATTATTACTGTGAACAACTCGGCGTAAAAGAAAACGCCAACACCCTGAATCGTACACCGGCCGTACACTTAATATCGTTTACGACGTCTTAGAGTTACATATTATAATACTTTTGGTGGCTCTCATAGTTGCCACTTTTCAGAGAATACATGTAGGAGAAATCCAAGACTATCCTTTTTTTTTTTTATTAAGTTTCTATCTATAAGAACCTTATTTTTCTTTCCATTCGATATTGTGTTATTATTTTCGATAATATTTCCTTTTCGCTTTAAAAACGCAAATACATATTACAATTTAAACTAAAAAATCTCTTTTACATCAGAAATTTTAATAAACCATTTAAATATAGTTATAAGTCCGTAACAATTTTACTTTTTGCATTGCTTAATTTGTGTTAGTCCGAATAATCTCTCGGCTGTACTTAAAATGGTCCAACCTCGATTGACGTTAGTGTTTTTATTTAGTCGTATTATAAAAAACTATTAGTTGTTCTAAGTTCTAAACTGTATTTAATGTGCATTTAATATTTGTGTTCTTACAGTAGTAATAATTTGTATTTAAAATGTTGACAATTCGGTGTTTAAACGTACACGTAGTTTGTATGTCGTTTAAATATAATTAAAAACGACAGCAAATTTGAGTACATCAATACAAAAGAATTTAACACGTGTTTTAACTATTTTATTTAGCGACGTTATTGAGAAACTAGAAAAACTAATTACTCGAAACAAAAAAAAAAGAGTGAACCGTTTCGATAGTTTTAAATAATTATATGTATTTTTTTTTTTGTTTCGTTACCTATTTTTAAGTAACTAATTGTGATTTTAGAATTAAACTTAATATTATTTATAGGTATATATATAAATGTATATGTACATAAATGTTATTATTTGAAGAAAAAAAAATACCTTTAGATTAAAATATGTAATGTATTTTTTTTTTTTTAGAGATTTGTGGCAAATATAAGTCAATATTTTATAAGCGACAAAGTTAACGAGTTATATTATTACTAAAAAGTATGTGCGTTTAGTGTTTTTTATTATTATTAATAAAACCAAAAATGTAAGAATATTTTTTAATTTTTAATTTTTGTATAATCACCCAATTAATATTTTGATCGGTTTCTTTTTTAATAAAAAAAACAATTTATCGTGCAAAATAAACATTATAAGTAAATAACGCAAAAATTATTGCTCGGTATGAAATATAATGTTTAAAACGCATATTTTTTTATTAGAATATATAAAGTTCTAAGCTTGGCACTAATTAGTTAAAATTTAAATTCAAAGTGAAGTTTTGTAAGACACAACTAAAATTTAACATAAATTCAACATTCAAACGGATGTTTTGATCGTTTATTTAAACTCTCTGTTCTGAAAAAACCGTGGTAAAAAATCATCGACTGGAATACAACCAAAAAACGAATATTGAGGTAAAGTGAGGTATTTTTTTGTACATTTATTTTGTTGCCCTTATAACAATAATAATAAAAATTTGAACAAAATTCCTGTGAAAATTCATACAATAGATTTAAAATGATAAAATATATATATATGTAATATTTATAAAATATAAAACAAGTAACTTATTGGTTTACAATTAGATATATTATTAGTTAACATATTATTATGTACACAACATTTTGTGAATTATCGTTGATCGTTCTGAGCCGCAATACCAATTTTTTGTTTTGTTTATCGACACATTTTGTTACAGATTCGTAGGTAATCCCAAAGTTTTCCTCACCAATTTCTCGGCGATACTGTTGAACTCGGTGCGATTTTCACGCCACATCTTGGCCGCGTCCACATTTGCTCCGCTCTCGTCGTTCGGCTCTGTAAACGATTTTTAACCGATGAGGTACATATAAATAGTGTTTTAACTTTAACATAACAATAACGGATCGTATGAATTTACCGGCCAACATGCTTATTACAGACAGAAGAATTTTTTCAACGCTCTGCACCGGACTCCATCTTTCCGAACTGGACTCGTAGCCCATCGGATCGTCTCCGGGCGCGTGAAGAATCGATATGCACACTCGTCCGTCGGAATAAACTGGACAAATAAACAAACGACAAATATTACAAAATCAAAGTAAGCCATAATGTTAAACAAAATGTTTTATTTATATTTTTTAAGTTCTGACTGAGTATATAATATTAGAGTATAATAATAATTACTGTTTGGATGAAACATTTCGCACGTGAACGTCATCTTTGGCGGACTCAAAGGATAGTCTGACGGGAAAACCAATTTTGCCGGGAACACGCCGCCTTCGAAACAAGTTCCTTCAGGTCCGCTGTAAAAGTGTTTGTTTTTTTAATGTATTTCTAATGCTGTTAAAGTAGTGTTATATTGGCAACTGATAAATCGCTCAACGTTACTCACGTAATGAGAGCTTCCCATTCGAAGTAGTTGTCTTCGTTGATTGGACCGGCGATGATACCTTCCGGCGGGTTCAACGTCAATTCTAAGCAAAGACGGTTTATTCAATTTATAGCATATTATATTATTATATTATTATTTGTTTTTTTTAGAATAAACATTATTTTAGCTGTTGAAAACTTGACGACCCGACATTGGTTTACTCACGTTTGTATTCGGCCATCAGACGCCTCAGAGCAGAACCGGCCATAGCTAAAACTTGTGTGTGTGTAAGTTTAAAGTCCGAACTTGAACGAACAAGTATATTAACCTTTGAGTGGTATTGGCGAACGGACACGTTTTAGGGGTTGAGCTTTGACGCGGACGGTGAATCGTGACAGCACCTTGACAGGTGTGTCGGCAACTCGTGTTATCATCTGATGCAAAATGGCCGCCGGCGTTCCGCCTGTACGGACCGACGGCCATTTTGCGGTTATCGTAGGTCGCCGGACATACCTTGTGCCGAAAATGTCAACCTAATTGGTTTCCAATAACGTTTGCTGATAACGGAACGCTATCAGTTGTTATTATGCTGATAAGAGTGATAACGGTGCGAGTTGGCTTGGCCACTCGACTCTCGAATACTGCGACGGGCCGCTGCTGATGGTTGGACTTATAGCTCGATTAGTTGTTATTATTTATTACACTATTAAATATTTTTTGGAAATCTGTTTGTTTTTTTTGGCTTCGGAATTATTAGTGTTAATTTGTGAATGAACCGCTCGGCTTTGTGATTTTTGAACACGGACCGCATCGATAATACTGTCGTTTCAATACTTGGAAGCGACAAACAAAAAATGGTATGTTATTTAATTTTCAGGCTCGGGTGGTAACGTTAAAAAAGTAATGCATCACCTTTTTTTTTTGTAATTTAATCACAATATGCCAAGAACAATTTCTACTACTTTTCATAATATTATACAGATAATTTGTAATAACTTATGTGTCAATTCTGGTTTTGAATCGATATTAGCAATAAATAATTAAGTATTCAATTTTGAAAACAAATAAGAAAATGAATACACATTTTGAGTATGATTTCAAAAGTTAATTTCTAATGTCTTTTGCAGGCCGTTAAAATGGCCGCCGGAGAGGCTGGCAGTGTGGTGGCTGCTGCGACCACGGCCTCTGACTGGGACACCAGAGAGTCGATGCGCCAGCGTGAGCTTGACGAGGCTAGAGCGAGAGCGACGCAAATGGAGAAGACCATGCGTTGGTGGTCCGACTGTACGGCCAACTGGCGGGAAAAGTGGAGTAAAGTAATACGGCAGAGCGATTAGATTGATTTTCTTTCTTCAGAACCCATTTGATCCTAGCAATTATGGTTTTTCACTTAGGTGAGAAACGAACGGAACAAAGCACGGGAAGAGGCCAAGATGCTCAAAGACAATTTGGATCATGTCCTCAAGGAAAACGGCAATGTCAAGCGAGAAAAACAAAACCTGGAGCTACAAAACGAGTGTTTACGCAAAGAACTGGAAAAAGTCAATCTTATTTTGTTGAAGCACGCTGGTACGTTGAGCTGTTTGTATAATTTAATAGTTAATGAAAACATTTTTTTTTTTGTTCTTAACAGGACAATGGGATTCTCAAATCGTCGACGCGTTAGAAAACGGCGTTTCCGAATCGGACACATGTTGTAGTTCGATATCGAGACCGCAACCGTCGGTCGTTACCGATTCCGGCATCGAGGAGTACGTTTTGCAAGAAGCCGTTCCCAAACACGCCGTCGAAATGTTCCACCATCATACGACGTCGCCCGTCAAGTCACCGGTGCCGCCATCCAAAGAGTTGACCGACGAAGAGGCCGACAAATTGGAAAAGAACTTGGAAAACTTGTTGGAGAGCACGCAACAAGATTTGGACAGTTTGAATAACCGATTGTTGGGTGCGGTCGATGTTCAAATCGAACACGGTGAATCTCAACAAGATCTGGAAACCGCCGACAGACGTTTGCAAGACTTGAGAGTACAAGTATGCGTTTGGGTGAATCGCCGTCCGGACAATCGATTAAAATGTGATTATTTTTTTTATTTCTAGTTGGAACAACTACAGGTGGAAAACGAACTCGAATGGAGCAAAAGAGAACAATTGGAAAGCGAAATAATCAATGTCGAGAGGACGAACAAACAGCTGAGGACCGAACTGAAAGACGCACAGGAACGGTTGAAAAAGCAAAACAAACCCGAGACGTCGTCCGACATGAAATTCAGACTTGTCCAACAAGAATTGGCCGACAAAAATATTGTAAGTAGATGCACGGACGCTCACGATATGAGATTACGTTGTCATCGTTTTGCACGTTAACAGGAATTGGCCGCATTGAAACACGCCGTTTCCAAACAGAAGAAAACGTTTGTCGATCAAAACAATGAGCTGGCACACTCAACGCGACGCGCAGAGCAGTACGAAGGCGAAGTCAAGCGTTTGAGGAGTCGAGTCGAAGAGCTTAAAAGAGAATTGGCTACGACCCAAGAAGATTACGACGTGGCCACGAATACGATAAAGTAAAATTAATTTTCAAAACAAAGCCGTCGTTGTTTTCTAAAATATATTTTCCCCCTTTAAGGAAGTTGCAGCGGTACAACGAGGACCTTCAGGAACAGTTGGACGGCTTACGAACCGAATTAAAACACCAAAATATCAGGTAAGAACGGCGGATAATTGTATTGTATCGATTTGTTGTTAATATTTTTCGTTTTGTGTTTAACGTGCTGATCTTGGGAAAATTTTTAGAGTAAGCCAAACCCGAGTGTTATATTGTAAAAACAAAATATATATCGTTTGACCGCTTCAACTGTATTTTGTTTCGTTTTTTTTTCTTAGGTTGGCGAGATTAACTAGTCGCGTGTCGATGGACGATACCAGCCACAGCGAAGAGGACTGAGTACACTATATTTTACTTTTTACGTTTGTCAATTACAATTTCAACTACTAATTACCTCTACTTACCCAATGTTCGACCACGACAATACATATCGGTCGTTGTCGCTTGGTTTTCTACTTATGTTATTATTATTATTATTTTTTTTTTTTGTGATGTGTTGTATTTGAGTTTTATATCGGCGTTTGATTTTGCATCTGCACCTGATTTACGATTTCCTTTTTTTTTTTGTTTAAACTAATCCACCGACTGAAAATGTACGGGACATTTTTTCTTCGATCAATCATTTGTATATTTTATTTATTATCGTTGCAATTGACTTGTACCAATACTTGATATTACCGTAATATTAGTATATATATATATAATTAATTTTTTTGTAAACTTTGAATTTTGCTCAACATTTTTTTGTACTATAATTTAAAAAAAAACAAAATGCTTAAACATAATTTTTTTTTTACTTAACGTAATAGAGTTTAGTGAAAAGTAATTAATATTAATTAGTAATATTTAAACGACAAATGTTATTATTAGTTATATGTTACAGTACAAAATTAGGGTTAATAATGTGTAATTTTTTTGTACTTACGTTTGAAAAACATTGTGATTAAATGATTTTTTTTGTACATATAAGTATAATGATGTAATAAGAGAATTGTTTTTTTAGTTTCTTTTGCAAGGCAAAGGCGGCGGATTCGGTTTACATATCTTCGCTCCGGCCTTTGCGCCGTCAATGTAATTGCAAGAGAACGAAAAGTAACCGCAAGTCGACGACTTGGTGAAATATTGAACGTTGTCGTCGACCGGTCGGTATTTGCGGCCCGTCTCGCCGTTCAGGTCAGTATGGAAACCCTTGGCAGCCACGTACGATTCCTTGGCCGTCATGGCCCTCAGCTTGCTTTTGTCCACCACGGTAAGGCCTCCCCCGCCGGGCGTCAACAGCACCGTTTGGGTCTGCGCTTGTCCACCGGGCGTCGCTTTGGCCTCGGTACGGTCGCCGGCCGCCGACGCCACCCTGGCCCGCAGGCCGTTCGGCACTCTCGTGCCGTCCGTGCCGGGTATCAGCTGGCCCGCGTCCAACACCTGTCCGGCCTCCTGCTGGTCGTCCGAGTCCCGGACGACGTGGGCCTGTTGTTCGTCTTCCAGGTTCAAAAATACATTCTGTGTTTGCGCCGGAGTCGGCGCCGACGTCGTACCGACTTTGGCCTCTTTCTCGTCGTCGTCCTCCTCGTATTCCTCGTCGTACTCTTCCGTGTCGTCGTCGACTTCCGGCAGCGGTGCCGCAGGAGTCGGCGGCGTTGAAGTGGCCGCTATTTCGTTCCGTACGGTGGTACCCGCTAGTCTGTCGATCTTGGCTTTGGCGCCGTCCACGGTCAATTTGGGCAATCCCTGAACCTTGTCGCCGGAACTGGCTTGGGCCGCGCCGTTGTACGAGATACCGTACCTGTAAGAGCCCGACAGCTGACTCTGAGACTGGCCCTTGCGCGCGCCACCTTGCGCGGACGCCGTGCCACCGCCTTTGAACAACGACTTCTGTTCGGTGCCGTCGGAGTCGTGCGGCAAGAATCCTATCTGGGCCTGGCTGGACGTGCCGCCGGCACCGGAAGACTGGGCGTCCGCTATGCCTCCTTTGATGCCGGCCTGCAGTTGCGTGTTGGTCGCGTAATCGGCCCCCACGCTCTGAGCTTCGCCCAGGGCCACCCCGCTCTCCAGGTCGTAGTGTATTTGCGATTGCGCCCGACCCTTGCCTGCTCTCCCTTGCGCCGCGCTCGTCGTGCCGTTTGCGTTGCTCGCGATGTTGCTCTGCGCGCCTTTGTCGCTATCGCTCGTCTGCGCCTGCGCGGAGAACGTGCCCGTTCCCGAATACGTCCCGGAGACTTGGGTCTGCGTCATCCCGCCGCTTTTGGATTTACCCTGAGACGATGCCGCAGCGCTGGTTTCAATGCCGTCCACGTTTACGCTGGTCAGAGATTGAGCTTCTCCTCCTTCGGCGTCCACCGACGTGACTTGACCTCCTCCGCCGGAAGACACGTCCGCACCGCCGTTTTGAGGTGGATGACTTCCGGTGGGTTCTTTCTGCGTACCCGCACCGTATTGTTGTTGACCTACACTCAGAACGCTGTCTCCCGGATTGACGTTTACCGAACTCGGAAACGATCCACTGGAAGTAGGCTGTCTCTGATTTGGCTGTTGACCAGCAGTCCCAAAGTTCCCCGGAGAACCAGGACCGCTATAGTAAGGCTGGCGATTACCATACGAACTCGGATAAGGCGCGTTGGCTCCAGGCTGTCCTAAATTAGTATTTAGTAAGCTACCAGGTTGTTGAATGCCGGGCCCTACATTTCCAGTTGCACCTGAAGGGGGTCCGTTATAATTCGGCTGTTGATTGTCAGTCCCAAAGCTGCCAAACGAACCAGGATAGGGTATGTTGGTTCCAAGCTGTCCTAAATTAGGATTTAGTCCGCTTCCGGGTTGTTGAATGCCGGGTCCTGCATTTCCTGTAGAACTTGAAGACGGTACGTTATAATTTGGTTGTTGGTTGCCAGTTGCAAAGTTGCCATATGAACTGGGATAGTTTACGTTAGTTCCAGGCTGTCTTAAATTGGGATTTAGTTCGCTTTCGGGCTGTTGATTGCCAGTCCCAAAGCTGCCAAACGAACCAGGATAGGGTATGTTGGCTCCAGGTTGACCTAAATTGGGATTTAGTCCGTTTCCGGGTTGTTGAATGCCGGGCCCTGCATTTCCTGTAGAATTTGAAGACGGTACGTTATAATTTGGTTGTTGGTTACCAGTTGCAAAGTTACCAAATGAATTCGGATAGAGTGCGTTAGCTCCAGGCTCTTGTGTTCCGATGTTGCCATATGAATTTGGATACTGTACGTTTGTTCCAATCGGTCCTAAATTAGGATTCAGGCCGCTTCCGGGTTGTTGAAAATTCGGTTGCTGAACGCTTGAACCCGAGCTCGGATAACGTACGTTAGTTCCACCTTGCCATGAATTAGGATTTAGTCCTGTACCGGGTTGCTGGACTCCTGACCCTACGGTTCCTATAGAATTTTGAGATGGTCCATTATAAATAGGTGGTTGATTGCCGTATCCTGAGTTACCGATCGAGCTTGGATAGGGTATGTTTATGCCGCCAGTCTGCCCTAAATTAGGATTAAATGCAGTTTGCATGAAATTAGGCTGTTGTCCACCAGATCCTACGTTTCCCGATAAATCTGGAGATAGAGCATTATTTCTGGGTTGGGCAAAACCAAATTGTGGAGTTCCAGCTGTTTCGCCATCAAGTGTTCCCTGAGGGCTTCTATTGGGAGCGGCTAGGTTTCGGTGGTCAGAAGTTCCCGAATACTTTCCTAGACCAGTGTACGAAGAAGTGTGTGGGTAATTGTTTGGTGTAAAATATCCATTCGATTCTTTAATGTTAGCTAAAGCGTTTAGACAAGTCTGGTAAACAAAACTGCACAACGACGGTAAGAAGCTATATTGATTAGTGTTTTGACCAACCATAGAGTTTAAAAAACTTGGGTATGTTATTTTCGACGGTGGATTCTGTGGTGGATAACTTCCGTCGCCGATAAATGGCTGTCCGGTTTGTTGGTTACTCCAGGGTTGATATTGGGGCTGATCTACGGTATTTCCATTGGGGATATTTTGCTGATAACTGTTGTGGGGATATTTAAAATTAACGTTTTCCATAGTAGACACGTGCGGGGCTATTATGCCGTGACTAGAACCGGACGGAAACCCGGGAAATCCTGATCCACTGGGAAATGATGCCTGTTGAGTATTCGGAACGACATTGACAGGATAAGTGAATCCAGGCGAGTTGGCCGAAGACGGGTAAGTATTCCGACCGACTTGCTGTGAATTATCATAAGGGTTCCTAGGGTTTGAGTACACACCGCTAGGGTTTATCGCGCCGGGTCGTTGCTCATAAGGTATTTGTCCGTTGGAGGGAAAAGCGTTCAATCCTAATCTTTGGTTCGAGGTCCCACTAGAGCGATCGATGGGCTCGTTACTGGGGAACGCTGCCGGGCCGGATTGTCCTGAGGGAATCTGCGTATTAGCTTGCAACCCTATTCCCGAGTTGGGATTTACCCCGGAATGACCTACTGGCGAACTAGGGTGTTTTTCATTGGTATAATATGGATCGGTTCGAGTCGGTTGGTCCGCATTGAGTTTTCCTCCGGGATATTGTTCGCCCGAAGGAGGGAATTGTGTATTGCCGCCTTGCCTATTTGTTCCCGGCAACGGTTTCGAGTGCTGACCATCCATTGAAGCAATCTGAAGTGTTTGAGGGGCTGGGTTCTCTTGCGAGTATCCGCCATGCGATCCTCGAACGCTTTGTCCATAGCATTCTTCGCAGTCGCTCACGCTGGACTGACTCTGAGCCTGTCCCATTCCATTCGTACCGCCTGGAAATAGCAACAAATTACACCATCAGCGATGCTGACGAATGCAAGCGGCAAGAGTGGCGTTGAGCAATTTGAGAAGACTACTAGGGATTGAAAGGAATGGAGGGATTGACGAAGACGAGGTGAGTGTAATACAAATGTGACAACTAGGGTTTTTTTTGGTAAGAAAAGATAGGGACGTGCATTTAAGACAAATGGAATTTTCGAAGAACTGGAGACTGATGCGTGGAATCAAGAAGGAAAGGCGAATTGCCATCGCATTAGGGGTTAGACATTGATTGAAAACAAGTAACTTGTAATGGCCACTCACTGACTGTTGCTCTTGACAGCTCCGGTTGGGACAAAGCTTCGGCCACTCCGTTTTTGGCATCATCTTTGCCGTTGAAGTTGTTCGGTCCAAAACTGACAAACTGAGTCTGCGTTTGGCCTCGGTAACGTTTCCGGTCGATTGATCTCTTCGATCTTGCGATTGTTTCTCGGTTGTCCGCAAAGACAATCGCATTGTTCCCGCAAAAGTCGATAACGCTTTGACCCACGATTTTGGCCACCTTTGTGAGCACACATATAATATAATAAACACTTGGACGTGACGGTAAAAGTTTTGTCATAATTTTGATTATAAGCGAATGCAATAATTACTTCGTTTTCCGACAAGGGTGTTTTCGTTCGCAACTTGCTTTTCAAATTTAACAGGTTCAAAGAATCTTGATCAAAGAATTGAACTTTGCATTCTTTGGACGTGGCGTTCTTATATGCTACAAGTCTCTGAAATCGCAAACACAATTGTTTTATTGTCATATGTATATATTTTATTATAAAAATGCATCAGACTTCATTAGATTTAACTAACCATAAACAGGAACAGATTTAAATAGCTGAACATTGAAACTAAACGCATAGTGTTAGTTTAAGATTTCAGATTATTCATAAACTTTTGGCCGAAGATGATATATATTTTACAATTGAACTTACCTTTTGATTGGATTTAAATTCAATGACTTGAGATTTTGTTCGGCTACTGTTTTTGACATCCGACGACGATAGCTTTATTAATCCGTTCTAAACATAAATATTAATGCGTATGTTGTTAACAATATTAATCCCTGAATTTAAATTTAAAAATAATTTTTTTCGCGTTTTTTTTTCTGTATTAATACGTTTTTTTCTTATGTCAATTTAGTCGGTCGAACTTACTTTGAATTTATTTACAAACAAACCTTCATTTAAAAAACTAAAAAAAAATGTAGCTTTTTAATTCTCCAAAGTACCTACCTTTCAGGTACTAAATTTTACCCACAATGGATTAAAAGTAAAATTTCAAAAAATTTGAGTATCTTTTGTTTTTTACTCGTGGAACAACCTTTTTGTGAGAATGTAATGAATTTAATAGATTTTTCGACAAAAAATGCATAATAATATTGTTTTTAATCATAAACAATTTGTATGTTTATTTTAATAAAAAACAACCTTAAATAAATATTCCCCCATTTTATAATATAATTTATATTATTATCAAACAGAAAAGGTGTACATTTTTATTTTAAATAGAAAATTGTACTTGACATTTGTCCACTTTCAATGCTATTTTCTATCTTGTGTTTTAAATAGATTTCAAATACTTTTCTTTGTGCTTAAAAGCAACGTATACACGATACTAATACTGAAAAAATTATTCTGAAGTTAACTACAACTACAATTTTTGAAAAATTGAATTCGACCGTAATAATTGGCATTCTAAATTGATAATTAATTTTATACTATATTTATATGACCAGCCCCCAAAAGTTGTTTAAGAAAAACTTTTACTATATAAAAAGGGAAAGATGATGATATTTTGGACAGAATGCCATATTAGTTTTAAAAATTCATTTTTTGGCTTAATTTTTATAATACATTTTCACAATAGTTTAAACGGAGACCTATGTAGGTGTTTTATGTTTCCTCTACAGAGTCAAGTACAACTAAGTAGTTACAAGTAGTAGTAGAACAAAGTACTCAAGTCAAATTTTTGGGTAAATAAAAAAAAACACTGTTTTTTCTCGTACGACTTTACTTGTACTGATAAAAAATATTTTTAATTCTCGCGCACTATACTCGTTTAAATTTTCGAATACCTACCAGTTTTTAGAAAATTTGTTTTTTTATAATTACCATAAAGGTTGTCTTACCTTGTTGTGGTTATCGTTCGAGTGTATGAAACCCTGAGAAATGGCTAATGCGGACACTACAAAACACACCAGGTTCGAAGGGATCATATTACCTGTGTTTATTTGTGTATTTATTTTTTAACAAACTGAAAACCGACAAACTAGGCCGGTTTAAAAAATTAAAAATAAAACAACGACTTGGCCGAATTCGCACATAGCCCACCGTCGACGACGTCTTGTGTGACATAAGATGTTCAAATGTCCAGTGTGTGTTTGTGTGTGAGCATGTTAATATATATATTTTTTTTTTGCCATAATATTATCGCCATCGAGCCAGTTCTTAAAAAAAAATAATGTAAAAAACATCTGGTGGCCCTTCCGAAATAATATGTTCTTCTATATGGCGCTGTATATTACTTGCACGTGATGCGATTAATAAAAAAGATTAAAAAGAGAGAAACGTTTAACCGCCAAATGCGTGTATGCCAAATATTTTGTTCGCCGTTTGAACAAAGAAAGGGTTAATTTGTGATTTCAGAGATTTTTTTGCAGCGCTTTTTTTTTAATTTCTTAGTCTAAACTCAATTATATATGTGCTAATATAAAACACAAAAAGTATTATTTGGTACATAATTTTGCTTTTTATAAGTAGGTACACTCTGTTTAGCTAACATTATTATTACTAAAAAATAGATTTTATTCATGCAGGTTAGGTACCTTACTGTGAAAATGAAAAACTACCCAATTAAACTTTAAGTTAAATGTATTTAACTTAATATGATTTTTTTTTTGTTGATGAATGTTGAACGTTTACTTATGAAATAAGGAACGGGACTTTGGGAAAATCTAGATTTACCAAAAAAAAACAATACATATGTGTCTTAGAATTTTTATAAACAACACTAAAAGGTAAAAGATAGTGAGAAATTTGGATTTTATCGACTTACTTGTTCAGTTTTGACTCTTGTTGCTTTCATTTTTTTTTACTCGCATAGCAAAAATCTACAATTTTGATCTTGAATAAGTTTTCAACGAGATTTTTTACAACAATTCCAAGACACATTGGTATTGGTTCACTCAAGTCTGTCAAATAACAACCAATAAGAATTCTCATTACTGTTTTAATTAAGTATACACTAATATTATAGTTTAAGTTCCTAACGAATAGTTTGGTAAGAAAAATTGCCTACACTTGGCCCTAATCTGTCTTGGTTCTATTTAAATTATTCCAATTTTAAACTGATCCAATTTCATATGCAATTAAGATAGGATTTTTTTTTCTTTTTCAAAACTAATCCATTTGTCGTTAACCATCACTGTTCGACTTGTTCGGTCTATTGTTAGACACCATAAAAGTTTCAACGGTTTTAGTTAATAGGATATGTAAAATATAATATAACAGCTATTATAGTTGTAATATAAATTTATTTTGTAGACGTGCACCGTGTTAAATGTCAGGGTCGTTAAGTTGGGTAAAAAAAAAAAATATAGAAATTAATGTATATATAAAATGGCGTTAGCTAATCTACATAGTGAGTATAGTCTGTAGTTGTAGTATTTTATGGGGGGGGTTTAGCTTAGAACTATATATAAATCAATTTTTTTCTCATTTTGTCAATCTGCTGTTTAAATACATATACAATGGGATTTATTTCGAAATCGTTCGGTATTTTCTACATACTGTATTTATCGAGATTAGCTGGTATGTGAGACTAACGTTTTTTTTTTTTACATAACAGTCTGCAAGTCAATATAGATAATAATAGATAACAAAAAAAAACGCTTGTCGATATCATCATACAATTAACGTATACACTGAGCTTTGTGATTTGTGTATTTTTCCCAATAATCAATATGCCACAACACTTTTTGTTAAAATATTCTATTCAGAGTAGTAGATGTGTCTGTATGTACACATTTGATAACTTTGACCATATTATTATATTATATTCATGGTCAATAACAGATATAATAATATTATATTATGATATTTGTATTTTTAAAAGTCGGTTGGACGCGCAACGTTTGTTTGCGGTGACCGAGACGGCCTAAAAGACAAAAAAAAAAAGTTAAACCTAAGTTTATAAAAAAATTAAATATACATACATAATGATAATAACATATTTGTCGTCGCTCAGCCGGGTCACAGGTAATGTAGGAAAACGACATGATGATGATTATATCGTTGTTATGTTCAATTTATAACGTCTGGGTCGTTTGCAAACTCAATTAAAAGTGGCACACCCGTTTGTATATTTTGTATATCAGCTGTGATATAATATAGTACAAAGGTTTTGTGCATTACATTAACCAGCACACGATTTCTTAAGCCAAAATAATCTTATAATATTTAAAACTCGCATGTTAAAATATAAAATAAAGGTTTTTTCATCTCGCCTAGGTAGGTATGTTGTTGAATACAAACCTTACCGTACCGTGAAATTTAATTAACCCTGTACACATGTGTCTTATATACTTAATTAATCACCTTGTACTTATATGTAAGATAGACAGAGACAGGTCTACGATTATTGGTCGTTTGGTTTCGACTGATAGACACTGTGTGTATTGCACCATAACGACTATACTTAGCTGGTTAGGTATGAAATAATCCATTTGTCACGGTTTGAATTTTTGCATTCCATCAAGACCTAAGGTACAGACACAGACTGTCTGTCGAGTAAACTTGGAAGAGATCCGTTCGTTTGTCGGTTTTTGCCTGTACAAGAGTGAGTAAAAACATAATATATTAGGTAGGTAATAAAAAAATACATATAAAAAGTTCTCAACATTTTAATATATTTTTATTGTATATTACGTAACTTAACCTAACTGATTGTATAGATTGTAAAACACATTTTTCAGGTATTCTCCGAGGGATGACTTGAGTAGGACAGATCATAGGCGCAGCCGACTCGAAATTAGCTCCCCCCCCATCCTTGATTTTTAGGCATAACATTTTAATAGCGACTTAAGTATAGGTAAACGTAAATCCGGTGTAAACAAAATTTCAACAGAGGTAACTTTGATTATATTAATTGTACTCATAAAAAAATTGAGGTGATTGGAAAGTTACTAAAAAGGGACGGTCATGTCGTTTACTCTATAAAAAAAGATAGAAACAAATCAGTCTCTGAATATTTTACATAAATATTAAAATCAAAATTACAGTGAACAAAAATCGCTTCTGTCCCGACTTGTGTTTTTTTTTAATTATTACTATTATTAAAATATAAAATACAGTAAAATGAAAACAAAGAATCTACACACAGCTCTGTTATCCCAATGTGTGTACTTACTATAATATTAATATATGATTTTGTCTCTGTTAAAAACAGGTATGGGAATAGGAATGTATGCGCATATATAGGTGGTATACATCTATGTATAGGTATTGTAATCGAAAATACAATATTATTATTAGATTGTCCATTGTCTATTGTCGTGGTGCCTTATCGGGCGAGCCCGAAGTCAAAGGTCGACCCAAGAGGTTATCGAGAGGCTCTTTTACTTTGAATAAGAAAAATCGGTAAAAAAAAAATATACATACAACAAAAAACACAATCAGTCGAACACGCAGTAGCCGTACGTTAACACTGTATTGTTAATACTTGTTGCCTACCTATTTTGTTTTATTGTGTGCGTTTTCCCGTTTAAATTTTCAGCGTTTTTGTGGAAAAACAAATTTAAAAAAAAACATGGCCAAATCGACATTGCTGTTGTGCTGTTTGTACTTTTTGGCGGTCGTTTCGGTGGCGTTTTCCGCCCAAGACGGTCAGCTCAAAGTCACCAACACGGTCGTGGTGGACGAGCACTTGGCCGCCGCCGAAGTCAAAGAGTCCAACTTGAGTAAGTAAAAAAATAAATTCCAAAAAAAAAATTCGGTAAGAGTCGAAAGCGGTCCGTTTTAGACCGAAAAAAGTATAAGAAATTTGGTACAAAATTTTAACTCAAAGGTTTTAACCGTGTGATGTGTAATTATTAGTTTAGTGTATATATATATATATGACTATTACATAATCCTTGACAGAGATTTAGGAAAAATAGATCTTCCAAAAATTGTCTCATGATATATATCATCTGAAAGTCAAAAACTTTATCCGTGTCGTGTTTTTTTTTATAATGACTTGATTATTAAAATCAAAACGAGCGCTTAGAAAATTTTCCTTTTTTTTTCACCTTTATTTAAACAAAAAAAAGTAATTGTGTTATTAAAAATATCTCTGATTTATTATAATGAGTTGGTGGACGCAGGCATTTTTTTTTTTTGCAAAATCTTAATTTAAAGACTAAACACTGTGATGTGCAGTTCGGTTACATGATTACATTATACAAAATATTTGTTCAGTAATTAGTAATCTTTTTTCTTTTTGGAAGTTATTTTTTTGGTCCATGTAAAGATACAGAAAAACGTACCCTCCTTCTACGAGGTTATTTTAGAGATAAAAAACTAAAAGACAAAGTGTTTTACTACAATGCATAGTTCAATATTATGAAGAATGTAAAAATTAATTAATTTTACTTAGGTAATTTCTGGAATTTTTTTTTAGTTTTTTATATTTGGAAATGTTGTCCTCTCTTGAATAATCTTTTTTTTTTTTTATTATTATATTTGTTTTATCTCGAAAATATTTATCTAAAAGGTACTTTTTTTTATCGGTTTTGTCTAAACATGTTTTTACCATTGAAAATCGTCGATTAGACGTTTTCTTAATTGTCTATAAACAGAAAAAAACGCTGTGAATGCGAAAATGTCTTCAATGAGATATTAATTCTCGTTGCTGCCAATATTAATACTTATGATAATATTTGTAATGATTATCTACTAATGATTATTGTATAAAAAGGCAATAAATTATCATTAAAAAAAAACTGTGCTCAAACTTTAATCCTACAAATATCCCTCAAATACTTCTTTTAACATTTTTTTTGCTGCTTGTCCTTTTATTAAGCTATTTTTTTTTTTACAAAAGGTATTATGCTACATTTTTTTTTGTATTAAATTTTATAACTAAATTTCGATGAGCTTTTAACGATAATTTTTTAAGTAATAATCGTCAAATCCACTATAATATTGTTTATGTTTAGAAAAAAACAAATATAATAATAATAAATAAAAACAAAGCGGCAACGTTAATATGAATTTGAATTTGAAACCGTAAACATTGCGGTCAAGGTGTTATTATTGTTGGATTTGTGATTACGAAAGAACCGTTTCAATTGTTAACAAACACAATAGCACACGTTGTACGGGTCAGAATGAATTATTTAAATTATGACAATCTCAAAAGTTCAAAGGCCGATTAAATCACAAACAATATTATGTTATTGTGTATTTATATTTTTACATAAATTATATACATATATGTTTTTTAACGTTTGCAGAAAACAAATGCTACGACATAAACACGAAGAGTTCTTATAAAATCGATTCGGTGTGGTATCCGGAGAACAAATGCGAGAAGTATACGTGTACGAGGCAAAAGGGTTCGAAAACGCCGTCAATCAAGACTATGGAGTGAATAAACAGCTATTAATATTATTACTATTAGTTATTATTTTACCAGAGTTGAGATTTCGAAACAATATTATCGTCGGTCATGTGTTTCCAGGTGCGAGCCGTGCAAAAATTGTCAAGCCAGCCAAGAATGCGTAGCGCTGAAGCCGCAAAAACAATATCCAAAGTGTTGTCCACAGTGTACGACAAGGGATACGCTGAAAAAAGGTCACAAAATGTACAAGCCAACACGCAAAGTCCGCTGAAACACAAAATGTTTCGCCCGTCAATAAGAATATAATATAATAATATATAAATATATATATATATATATATATATTAAAATCGTTAATAAAATAAACTATAAATATTTGTAATAGTATTAACAGAGGCCGGTGGTGTACTTTTATTACTATTTTTATTTTTTCACAACAACGTGATAACAAAAAGTGTCTTTGAAGTCACGTTGACATTTCATAACGTGACGTTTCATTAACACAATATGAGTAATAACAAAACGAGAGAAAAAAATTTACAATTTATAATTTTTAGTCGAAAACATAGGACCGTGTCCGGGCACGATCCAATCGACTTGCGACAGTATAGTGTTTCGGTTTTTTCGTTGTAAATCCGAATTCTCACTGCCCGCATTTAGCCATATGGACTCGTCCTCAATGTCCTCTTCCCGCTCGAACAGATCGCCAACCACGCCGATCAGACCGTCGACGGTGCGTACTATGACGGAGACGTCCGATTCCGTGTGGCCGGGGGTCGAGACGATCCTGACGTTTTCGTCGATTTCGTACACTCCGTCGGCGTTGAAAAACGCGCTGTCGTCATAGTACAGCTGTTCGTAGCTGACACACCGACCGACGATGTGTTGTGCTTTTAAAAACAAATTATTGTTACCCACATGGTCCGAGTGGCCGTGCGTACTTACTACGTAGTTGATGTCTTCGCAGGTGACGCCGCGCTGCTCAATGGCTTTCACCAAGTCCTTTTTGTCCCAAGGCGTTAACGTGTCGACAATTATATTGTTCGGCCCTCTCAGCAGCGTACAAGTACAATTGGCGAACACGCCTCCTTTGGTGGGCCGACAATAACCGTCGAACAGAATGTGAGCTTCGTACATGACGTCGGTTTCGTGTAAGACTTTTGGTAACGAAAAATTATCCCTAGGCAAAAATATTCAAAATCAAATCGAGTTCACTCGGAGGTATATTATTAATTAAAATCTGTACTTACTTTTGGCTTTAGAGTGTAGATTTTGTCTTAGCAATATTCTTCCTTACAATAATATTATTATGTACCGATATTTATCAATTGTTCAGCCCATTCAATTCCGTATGTATTCCGAACACTAAGTCATTGGTTTCAAACCACAGTAGAATAGTTTCTGTAAAAATAATTTTCCAACAATTAAACTTTATTGTAATTATTTGAAAACAATTATCTCGATTGACAAATTCACAAATATTCGATAAAAATTTCAACAATCAGTCGAGTAACTTTAAAAAACTTGGAAGTATGCACTTACTACGTAGGAAATATGTCTTAACTCGAATAAATGATTTACGTACAATTCATATGTACTGTAGGTTTGAAGAAAGTTTTAGAAAAAAACATATTGTAACTTGTATTCTGTATAAAATTATTTTTTACACTAGACAACAATTATTTCTGTTTGAAAACTGATAAGTGATAACGTTTTATATGATAACTGCCAATGCCCTTAACCACATACTGTGTGTGGTATGTGCGGTAACCTTTGATCACACTAACCATAGTTACCACATATACTTTTTGGAAAAACAGAAATTTTAAGTTGCAACTTGGATTAGTCGAGTTCGAGTGTTTTTTTATAATATTATATTCTTTAGATACCTACTTTTTTTACAGACAACTAAATTAGGTATGTACTATTATTATTATTGCTTACTATATTTTATTTTTTACAACAACCTCTCACAAAATAATATTGTTTGTAAAAGTTCTGTAAAAATATGTCACGTTTTTGACCGATTCTAGTTTTAAAAATCTTGGAAAATTGACAAAAAAAAATGTATTCTAAAATAAAATAATACCTTTATATGTTTTCTAAAAACGGACAATCGTTCATGTGACAATGATCCCCAATGATTAGGTAATTATTTAATACAAAATTATAAATGAAATTTGAATAATCAGTGATGATATAAATAGATAAAAAAATAAGAACAAAACCAAAAAAAATCGTTTTCGTTGATTTCAATTGATATATTGTGCTTGAGAAATAAAATTGTATCCATTTAACTAAATTAGATGCATCGACAAGTGCGTAACGCAGTACAGTAAGAGACGCTCACGAACCGGAGTTCCAATCCGTTTAATCCGAAAACTTTTTTTTAGTTTTTTCTCTCTTTACTTTCATGTAATTTCTTTGTGTGGTTAAATTTAAATAATTAACAACTACATATCATTGCTATTAAAAAAAAAAAAAAAAAAATAGGTATATTTATATGTTTAGGCCGTAACGTAAAATAAATAAACTGGGTTCGATTCCGATTCACATTAAACATATTTTTGTAACACTTAAGCTATGCCTAACACATACGCGAAACAACAAAACAAATACGAAGAGCGCCATAAGGCCAAAAAAATAAGACTAGAACCAACCAGTGGCGTAGTTACGGGGGGGGATGAGGGTGTCGTATCCCCCCCCCATGACCTTTTCTTTTTACTGGCCATAGGCTCAACAAAATATTTATGTACTTATTTAACATTATTATAGTAAAACCCCGAATCTCCTATGTACCTATATAGTTTATAAATATAACTAAAATAATAGCAGTCGATTGAGTTTTTTTTATTGCGGAGCGACGATGCACATCAACAATGTCGTCGTATAATGTACGTCAATAATCAAACAATATTATACTTGTGTAAATGCTCTGAAAATAACTGATGGATTTATACACGTTATCGGAATTTTCTTAACAACTTTTTGTCTCATTCGATAAACGGTATGTGGGCATTAAGATTAAGCATGTGGTCAGTGGTAACAAATTACAATCAGCAGTGTGAGCAACTGGATAATAGTTGACAACAGTTTTCACTATATTACGTATACTGTATAGTGTATTAAAATATAGTTGTGAATTGTGATACGTGAATCATAGTAAGTCAACTAGGTACACGAGTTTAGACTTAAGTTATTTTATTATTTAGTTGTGTCATAGAGAAGACAATTTTTTTTATAAGTCTAAAAATGGAAGGAAAAAGAAAAAAATGTAAAAATACTAGAAATACACTTTTTTTATATTTTTCAAAAAAAATCGTTCTATTGAAAATAAAGAAGATTGTAATGAGGTAAGTATCTTTATCGTTTTATATGTTGTTTCATCACTCCAATTTTTGGTAATTTGGTTTATTTTGTAAAACAAGCAATATAAAAGCAATACGAAATTGTTTAGGTATTGTTGAAAAATTATACAATTTTTTCAATACTCCCAAACGAAATCATGTGTTATTATCTACTATCGAAAACAGTAATGTTGATCAAAAAATAAAAACATTAAAAAGGCTATTTGCAACTCGATGGGTGCAAAGATACGATGTGATTCATGATTTCATTGAGCTTTTTAAGTTTGTAGTAGAAGCTTTAGAATGAATATCAGATTGGAAGGATTCGTCTGCTACGGATGCATCAATAATTCTAAAATCAATGGACTCTGAATTCCTAATTTCAGTTAATATTGTTCAGGTAAAAACAAAATTTTTAATTAAAAAGAAGGTATCTTAAGTCTATTGCAATTACCTGATGTATTTTTCAGCTAATGTTTTCATTTGGCTTACCGTTATGTAAATAATTACAAAAAACCAAAATTGACTTAAAAGAAGCCATTGATCTCGCACTAGATACTATCAATGAGTTATGTACATTATTGTTAGTTACATACTGTTATGTTTATTACAAAAAAAGAGCTATGTACATTATATTATATTATATTACAAACAAAATAAATGTACTTGAAAATTAAGTAGTTTGTGTTTATGTGTGTACAAAAATGTCTATCCCCCCCTAAGACAAATTCCTAATTACGCCACTGGAACCAACTAATACCATCTTGTACCAAGTACCATCTACGAGTGCAGTGTTCACACAACATGATTCCCAAGAGAGTAGTAAGAAAAAAAAATTTTTAATTATCTAGTATACATTTCATATTTTATACAATAAGTAAATAAGTTGATTAGAAAACCAACCATTGGAAAACTAGATCGTTACATAAATGACCAATAGATAATAAATAACTTGGACTTCGATCCCGTTTCACAAAAAAAAACAACTTTTGTAAAATTTTAGCTACGCCTAAGACAAACGCGGAGAGACAAAAAGAATTCAAAGAGCGCCAAAAATCTATTTTCAGAACTTCTCAAGTAGCATCTACTAGTACTTCCACTACATTGTCAATAATGTATCCACCAGATATATCCCATTCGCCTTAATAAATGTTATCAACTTCATCAGAACTTAAACAATCATTAGAAGATAGAACTACTATTGAAACTTCAGAATATATCAGTGTCGCCTCATATAATGAATATTATATACATTCCACGATCAATTTAAATCAAGGTTCTTAAACAATAACTTTGTTGCTGTATGTAGTGTATGTGATAGATTGTGGTATGATAACGTTTTAAAAAAACCTCCACTGATCCACATTGTTCAAAAGATATTCTTTTATGTGAATTTCCTGGTATTAACATCGAATCATCTCTTGTATGTAGTACTTATTATGCCACACTTAAAAACTAAAAATGTTTGCACATAACTATTGTGAGTAATTTCCACGGCTCACTCGGTTTTTTTTTATGATAATAAAAGACTTGAGAACTTCTAGGATTCCGGCCGATTCTTTACACCAGTTTTCTCTTAAAATTTTTGAAATTTAGTTAAGTTTTTATTTTTAAAACAACTTTTTAATATTACAATTTTTATATTTGCAGTATTTTTTTAAAGCTTTATCGACATTCGAAACTTAAATGGCAACAGAAACATTTCATTAACTTTTTAAATTGAGAATAATGTACTACAAATTTAGGATAAGAGTTGATTAATCTTAAAAACTTAAGAACTTTAAAATGATTATTCAAAATTGATTATCGAATAATGTTTTTAGTAAATTATTCTTAATTTAAAATTTTAATTAAATACTTATATAGTTAACTAAATAAATATATAGTTTTAAAGGTTGATAAAGCTCCAGAAAATTAAAAAAAAAAAAAATAAAAATTTAAATATTGTTCAATATTGTAATAAAAAATGTTTTTAAAAATAAAAACTAAAAAATTACAACTATTTTGAGAGTGAACTAATGCAGGGCTCACCCGATAAAATAATAAACACATTTTCCTACAATATACCTATATAGTTATAAGGAATTGGTGTAAAATAATATTTTATAAAATAAACACAATTTTTTTCATAAAATTTATGTTTTTTTCTTTTTATGCGCAATTTTAGAATTTATGAGTTGGAAATTAGTCTTAGAAGATAGGTCTAACATATACCAATACGGCACTCAAAAAAGAAAAAGTAACACATATGTTATTTAAAAAACATATTATATACTTATTTATATGCTGGCAAATACTCTTAATATAGGTACATATGTAGTAAAACGGCTTGTTTATATCGTAACTGTTATTATTGATGTTAGTATTACATTTGTTTCACCGCACCATTTCAGTGTAAAACAACATATTTCTCCAAACAGTTTTTGCTAATTTTTCCTGTTTCAAAGGATTTCTTACAGCTAATACAACATGTATAAACTATATTCTACGGTTTTTGTGTTGATGGTCGTTGTGTTGATTGGAACAACGCGCCACGAAGCACTACATGAAGTCATTTGGAATTTGACGACGGACAGCCGCCATTTGCACTGCAGTGTAGATATGATTTCCTACCCGGGTTTTTGCACGGTGTTGCCCGAAGTCAAAAGCCTTGACAGAACTTCACTTATTGAATGCGGAAAACCGGATTCGTCGAACCTGCAGGTCGACACCCAAGTAATAAACTTCTCATAGAAATTTACATATTATTTTGTTTTTAACAGTTTTTGAAATTTAACTCTATCGCTGTATTCTTCAAATGTATTTAACAGGTTGTTAGAACGACCATTCTGACTGGCATCCGAGAAATAGGCAATGGCCTATTCGCAAAGGTGCGTTACGCAGTTGTGGTCAGTGCAGTAGCTATTGTGCTGATTTTTGCTAGTACTGTAATACTGGTTCTCTTACTCACGGCTATTGCACCTTGGCTACTTATATTGACTTCTTATGCACTGTTGCTGAAACTACTGACTATCATGGTATTTCTGCCGCTGTTTCTAGTGTGGATAATCGTCAGTGTCATTGTAATTTATATCGTTATTCATTTGAAACTTTCACATATAATATAATGTTATCATACATTAACAATTTTCGCATAACTTATATTATTATTGTATATACTCCAAGCAGCTGTACACCACAGCCATGGTCTTATACAACTTGGAACACAAACTATTATAAATATTGTAAAATAAAATGATTTTGTACTTCACAAGTTTACTGGTTTGTTTTTTTATGCAAATATATTTTTTAGTAATATCGCATGTTATCGGATCGTTTTTAATAATACCGTTATACAACAGAACATATGTAGTGAAGCTATTTTTAGATACTGTCGACAATTACTTTTTACTTTAACTCAATACTTTTACTGACATTTGAAAGCAAACGCTTTTACATTCGTTCCGCTTAACCCTACCTGTACCACGTGGTGGCGGTTAGGTTAGTATTAAAACCGTACATTAAAAAACATGTTGTCCTGTTTATATTAAAGATTTGAGTAGAAAACAACTCTAAGCAAACGAAACTAGATTTGTTACTACAACTTCTCAAATCGTTGTTTACCCAGAGTAATTGCTTTTGCAGTGTGTGTCACAATATTCTTTCAGCTGTGCGGTAGTACGCGACGGCCCATGATCTTAAGATAGGTACGTCATAGTAATATTATTATAAGGAAATATGGTTTAGAGAATTATACGCTATCATCGCCGACACGACGACGTTGTGTTTTTTTTTATGCGCTGATCGATTTTTCAAAAACAAATCGTTGTAGGTATATTTATATGATATTAATTCAAATTAATTATAATTTTTTTAATTTTGGAAGAAAAAATGCATTTACATTAGCTCTATTTGCTTAAAACTACCCCACTTGATCCATTCACTCAAATTAAATACTTAATCGTACAATATCAAGCTATAGTAATCCACTTTTAAAAGTGTTTGGGCTATGTGACTATTATACATACTTTTACCTATAATATACATGACTTAAATATCGAGGATACGTTACTAGTATTAGATACATTTTTTATAAGATTGCGAAAGCCTTTATTAGCAACGCTTTGTTAAACAACGACTTTTGGCCTTTCCAGTATATCTTTCCCAAAAGTTTAGTTAGAAAATATTTTTTTACATTTTTGAATAGACTATTACCGTTTCCTGTTAAATGGGTTTGTTTTTTGAAACAATATAATTGGTTAAAAAAATATTTTTTTAAAAAACCCACAAGGGAACATTGTGTAGGTTTTGATCTTCATATTTATGTCAACATTAATCAATCCCAAATCCAGATAAGTATACTTATCAAGTGTTTAACTAACAATAAGTATTAGGATTTAAGAATTTTTAAAATACAAGCTGCGTAGTTCGACAAAAAAAAATGGCTTTATTATTAAGTCAAACAGCTGATATACTGTATAATTATTACCTCGGCAATAGGAGAACAGTACAAATTTAACACTTAAAACTATGGGCAAGGTTTATGAAATGTGTAGTAACTAGTTTACAAGATTATTAATAGTTTATTGCTTAATCATTAACTAACTTATATCTACTGTTAATAGACGTCGCACTGTCTATTTAATCATTTTTCTAGTAAAAAAAAACATATATAATTGTATACAAGTAATTAAAACGAAATACTCAATAATTATAAAAGTAACAATAGGTACCTAAGTTATAATGCATTTATTTACACGATTAATAGTTTACAAGATTTTCAAAACCGATCACTCCTTTGTAAATGTCTAATAAAAGAAAATGGTTTTCTCGTAGAAACAAATAGTTGTAATCTAAACGCAGACCTAATATGCTATGATCGACGGTTAAATAAATACTTATAGTGGAGTTATTTTTTCGATTTAAGGCCCTGCTTGAATTTCAGACTCAGTATCGAAATGCCGACCGCCAAAAATATCCAAATCAATATCGAAGCGAAACCCTTGGCAACAACAGGGTGGAATATACCCCAATTTCTCGCAGTCATCGACCTGAAGGCGTCGATGGATAATGTCAGAGGTAGAAACTTACTGATTTCTTTGAGCACCGATTGCATGCCTTCGAACGGCCACATTATACCTGAAATATATTGCAAAATTTTTTTTAGTTTAGAAAATTTCCAACAACGCCAGGATGTATCTCTGACGTATATTTCACTCTCTCTCTCAGACGGGATCACATTCCAGCATTAGCATAGCAACATTTAAGATACATCCTGTTTGAGTATTTCTTTTATTAACACCTACCACTTAGAAAAACTTGCGTCAACACGATTCCTATTCCCAAAAATGTGGTTATTCTTTCATCGTCGAAAGATATGCTCGCAGCAAAACCTAAAAACACACAAACCATATTATATTCATTGTAATATACATTGTTATACTGATAGCACTGTTTTAATTTCTTCTTAGCAGTCTAGATAAAATCGTAGTGTTTATGCGTTTAACGTGTCGAACCCTTTATCTACCACTCACCGAGGAATGTTCCACATATTCCTTGTAAGAATACAATTATCATTGGCCACATCCAATGGCCCATTAAGGGATAGCTGAATATTACGAATTGCAGAATGAACACTGTGCAAGTTTGAAAGATCAGCATGATAATCTGCACGACCAGTTGTGACAGTATGACCTCGGATTCGGTCAGGCCTTGAGGGGGAAAAAAATCATAATACATTTTCAGTTATTCCAAAATCAAAAAAAAAAAATTAATTTTTTCAATCAAATCACCTGACGACAGACTCCTTTCCAGCAGTCCGCGACTTTTTTCCATTCCTATGGCCAACGCCGTGAAGAGAAATGTTAGGTAAAATTCCAGTCTAAAATATTTGGCACATCGGTTGTAATTAATTAGTCGTTTGAATAGTTTGAAAACATATTACGTTTGTCGTTGTATAGATTTGTGAAAGCGACAAATTTTTGTTTAAAAAAAATAAGAAAATCATTTTTATATACTTACATTGACAATACCGCGGGCGCTCCGTAGTGTGACATATTAACTTCCAATTGACCGAATACAGGTTCCATTATCTATAGGAAATGAATACAAAAATTATGTTTTTTTTTCAAGTCTTTGTAAAATACCACACATTATGTTATGTATAATAATAATATAGCAATACAATACGGTTACTCACTGTAAAAGGACGGCTGTCGACATAACGAATAGACGTCTCGTTGCAAAAACCGTGACTCTTGCTTAGGTCTTTTAAACTTTTTAGGATTCTGGTTTGGATTAATTTACTGATTATGAAATCTAAAATTACAAACACAATACAACAATATTATTACAACGGCTACTATTATACTAGGTAGGTACGCTTGATTTTGTTTAACTATATAAAAATAATAAAGTTACTGGACATGTCCATGGATGCCCACAATTCCATTTCTTCTAAATCTTCGCTGGCCATATTCATCGGATCGTCATATCGTTTTTTTACCAGTTCAGTAAAGTTACTCTTGAACTCCAAGTAACCCCATATTTTGTTGTGCAGTCCAGCCGTTTTCGCTTCTTCCACGTCGTCATAGTATATCTGTAAAACAAAAGAAATGTGTAAAAAAAACAGAATCAGGTATTTGGAATGTGTCATTGAAAACTATAAACCTTACTTGGAGAATGTGCCTGAGGGGGACGGGAAAAAAAGAATAAATTGTGGATGGATGAAGTGTAGGGGAGCGTCAGGTGTTTTGTGTGTTAGGAGGATGCATATAAAACGGTAGTGAATAGACAGCAGACAAGAAAACTGAAAAGAGAATGAGTGTAGCCGAGATGAGATTGATAAAATGGATGAGTGGAGTGACCAGGGAGAATAGAATAACAAATGCATACATAACGGGTGTTAAGTAAGTTTGGTACAGAGGCAGTGAGAGTTGTTAAGAAGATGAATGTAGAGTGAAAGAGAGGAAGAATGGGGCCGAAGAAAAGACGAATGGACAGAAAAGAGCACTCTCTTTTCTGTCCATTCGTCTTATATGAACGAGATGTAGAAGCTCTTTGGAGGTGTAGGACTTTGGAGGTGGCCGACCCCATGTAGTTGGAAGTGTAAGGCGAAGACGAAGAAGAAAACAGCTGTTTATCAGGCTTAAAAACAATTATGCACGCTTACCAAAGATACGCCATTGAGTTCAAGGTGGTGCAGGTATTTGCAGCTAAAAGGTATTTGGTCGTCGCAGAAGGCATTTGGCTGGATTGGGCTGCATGGGGTTTCGACGATTTCTTTGTTGATCACACCCATGTATAGCAAATCCGGCGTCCGGCCGACGATTGTGTCGAAAAGTAGCAAGGTGAATATGGGCAGCAGACAAACGAAGAATATGATTCTGTTAAACGTACATCAGAAACAACAACATGTATTTTAGTACCATACAACGTCTAGTGTGTTTAACATTTATAAACATACGAACTTCCAGTTTCTGACACTCCAATACCAATGTTTCAGTAGTTGAGCTTTAAACCGCGTTGGAGAAAAAAATGACGATTTTTCCAACGTGGTCGACGACGGAGAAGTTGGCATTTTCGAATTTTCCCTGGTCACCTCCTACACCGACCATAACAATACAATTAAATGGTTTTTATTCTCATTGTTTGATTAGGTACAGTTTATTCCAGCAAAAATCGGTACAATGTTTCCCTCGATGAAAACACTGATGACCCTGATTGGATCATGAACATGTCTTATGATCAGCTTATTTTTTATTAATCATCTATTATTATCAACCGATTCTACTATCGTTTATCTCTTATCAACTGATGCTCTTATCAATAATTTCTTATCAGTTATCTCCACATCCCCGCCCTCCCCATTTTCATCACTTTCCTATTTGATCCTGTTGTTGATCCAATTAAAATAATAGTTTACTTGAGTTATTTAGAACTTCAGGTAGTATTTTATTTAAATAATATACTTTTGGATGATAACATACTGTTTGAATGATTTAAATAATTTTTTGCTCGCCCAAATAAAAATGCATTTGAAACCAAGATTAGGATCTTTGTTAAAAAAAAAAAAATTACTTATTATTCACATTTTTATTTAAATTAATTAATATTTTGAATAACTAAACAATTAAATTTGAATAATAATTCAATAAATAAAATTCAAATTTAAAATTTTTTTTTTTTCCCATTAACTTTTTTATTTAAATAATGACCAGGTTTGTTCCCAATCCGGTGTTCTTGCTATTAAATCCTATACTTATCCCCCCAACTTTTTTCTTGCAATAATAATATCTCAGGTTCGACAAATTGGTTTTTTTATCATTTCTCTGGTGTCATCAGTCATTTTGACATAATAGTTGATACAGAAGGGATGGGATAGTTTGGATGAAATGGTGATAAAGGAAATCGATAATTCCTGGATATTTGATAAGATAATTAGCCGATCATAAGACATGTTCTGGATCCAATGTCTTTCCTCCAAGTGAAAGATTGAATTTAAATAAAGGACCGAGCTTACTATCTGATAATAACAATTTTTTTTTTATACTACAAGGTTATGAAATCGAATGTGGCGATAATGTTCATAGTAATAGCGTTGTTTTTCAATTCTAAATAATTAAGATACTCTCTTTTCTGCAATTTCGGCTACATTTAACACGGTGTTAACTGTAACTGCGGATAATGTGGCTAACGAATATGTAAATAATCAGGTAATAAAAGTACTGTCTATTACGTTTCATTAAACGGTCACTCTTGTTTAATTCGGTTCATACCATGTTAGCCGTGTGTTTTTGACTGAGAGTTAAAAATGCACTTTCTAGCGAATCCGCGTTACACGAAGCCATGATTTCCAAAGGAGCCGCTTCAGCTAACAGAACGCCTTTTCTCATCAGGCCTATCTGAAACCAGCGAGATAATTTCATAAAAATCATACATATCAACGATGGTTGTTTCACATTACTAATAAAATACACACCATGTTGGCTCGCCGTGCTTCTTCGATGTAATGCGTAGTTATGATTATGGTTTTTCCGCGAGTCGTTAATTCGTGCAAGTAGGTCCAAATACTTGTAGAAAAAAAAAATTTAACAGATTCTGTACAATTCGAAATATTAGATATACTAGGTACTACCTTGCACTGATGATTAGATCTACTCCAACGGTGGGTTCGTCTAGTATCAACAGACTCGGGTCGTGTATGAGAGCAACGCATAGCGAAAATCTTCTCTGTTGTCCTCCGCTACGAAAAAACAAAACGAAAAACAATTAAAACTTTACTCGTAAATGGTTTCCAGTGGCTTACCTCATAGCACCGAATTTGGTTTTAGTCGGTGGCATATCCATGAGGCTCAATAGTTTTTCTCCTCTGGTTATAATTTGCTCGTAGGGCATTTCGTACAAAGATCCAAAATAGTGAAGGGTCTCCGCCATGCTGAATTCTTCGTAGAGGGCTAAATCCTAAATTTTAAAAACAAAGTCAGCAAAGTCATCATCACAATCAAAATGCTTCGATTCGAATATGGAAATAGTGCGAATCTAAACCTAGTCCAAACCAACCATGGTCTGACCAGCGCGCGCAGTCTGAACCAAGCATAGTATAAATAACAGTACAGTAGAAAATTGTCAGTTGGATTTGTTGTACGAATAGGGAGCTTAAACTTGTTTAGAGATGCTAACATTAACATAGTACAGTGGGTTTGCAGGCAAGAAGTATAGATGCTGTTATAATCCTATGTAAATTTACTAAAGGCATAGTGTTATTGTTGATGAGTTGTTAGCCGTGAGTGCTAGTGACATTTCAGACAAGTCTTTAACATTATATTGCTAACCTGTCAAAAAAATGATGACCAATAAACCACGGTACAGTGAATTTTGTGTTTTTTTTTTTTTAATTTAATTTTATTTTGACGCATTAACATAATAATCGTGTCGGTTAATTTGTTTTATAGTCGCTTCACAATTTGCACCGCTAGCTGCTAGTACCAATAATATTATAATGTTTATGATATTTTTTTAACTAGGTACGATGCTATCGTGTTGACCTTGGGTTTCCGCGACCGCCGTACTGGTTTTTAATCATTTATTTTTTTTTTTGTGTTAATTTTTCAAAAAATATAATTTGTTTTGTTCGCCGGACCATATTATAGTATTGGTACTGTAGTGTTATTAATGTACGGAAAATTACCTGCGGCATATAGCCTATCTGTTTCTTTTTTCTTACGGCCAGCTGTATCCGTCCCGAGTTCAACCGAGTGCGGCCGATGATGCACGACAGCAACGTGGTTTTCCCGCATCCGCTGGGTCCCAGCAAACCGTATCTGCGCAAAAGAGTGGAAAAATAAATAGATTTTCAACAGGTCCGACCGATAATTATTTTCAAATAACATTTATTTCTCGTTTTCGACGTCACGTTAACGTCGTGTAAAATTATAATAATAATAATAACAATCGTCACACACATGGTTCCTGTTGATACGGTCATGTTGAATCCGTTCAGCACCATGGACGATGCGTCATACGCTTTGTACGCGTTGGTTATCCTGACCATCGTGTTGTCATTGTCCGCGGTCGTGGGTTGCCCTGTGGTAGAGTCCAGGTTTATTTCCTCCATGTCGAACGACCGCTAATTACACCTATTAAAAATAAATCATACCCATTATAGTCGGCGGCCTGGGGGCAATGCAATTGATTCAGATCGCTATGCATAAGAAGAAAAAAAAATTGGAAAATCGTTCAAGAGCAACTAAATTACACGTGTCTGGACAAAACATTAATTACTACATCAGTGTCGAGTTAGTTTCTCCCGGAAGGGAACAGTGCGGTGTTGAAATAAAATCCCTTAAAAAAGTATTCTAAGTATTATTAACACGGATATGTTATTGGGCTGAGAATATTCATGTCACCATTTCAGCGTTACACATTCAGTTAGAGATAAGAGACAAAATATCAGTGATAAGAGATAAATGATAACAGATAACATATCCACGATTAAACGTTTTTCTAATAATAATTTTACAATCTTAAGATTCGCATCGAAAGTGATTTTTTCACATTCAGTTACAATAATTTATTCCTGAAGGCCTGTGATCTACGCCAACACAATATACATTGTGCTTGCACAGTTTCCTGCTCAACTCTGTACGAATAATGTAAATTCGATTTATTAGCTACGCTGCAAGGCGAATAGTGTCGAAGACGAAAATAAAACATATTTTTTAGTTGAGCAACAATAACAAAAAAAAAATAAACATTCTGTGCGTCATAGTTAAACGTTTTTATTAAAAATTCAATGATGAACAAAACCGACACACCAAAGTGCTTATACTTTTTCAAAAAAGTGATCAGCACTTATTCTGTTAAAAAATAACTCACACACACACACACACATATCATGTAAAAACATTAGGTACCCTTTGAAGTTATGCAACGATGCTGAAAAATACTCATTTCGACCCAAATTCAATTTTAACATAGTTGTTTTCACTAATGGCCCAGCCCTTGACAATGGTCGACTAGACCTCGTTTGTTTTAATTAGATTTGTCTTATAACATGAATAATATAACATATTTTATTTTTATTTACATTGTTAATTCATTATACCAAGTCCGGAAGTATCAGTGGACATTTTATAGTTATTGTTGAATTATTTAAGTATAGAGAAGGAAATCTACCATTATGTAACTAACTCTCTGAGCTTAATCAATTTTAACACAATACCGGTAGGTCCAAATACAAAATTTGATTGGCTAGTGAACATCGTAAGAGTCGATTAGGATTTATTACCATATTTACTTAACTTGTTGGTGAATAATTATGTCTAAATTTGTGTACTATTATTTTATTTAATCAAAACGTAATAAAAAAATTAATTTCTGGTATAATATATAAAGTATCCACAAAGATTTAAGAAAAAATCTTTTAAACAAAGTTATTTTACTTGTCCCATCTTTGTGGAACAACCTGTTTTTTTTTTTTGTAAAATATTATATGCAATTTTATTCATTTGTCGTACGACCGTCTTAATGTAAAAAGTGTCACGTGTATGTATATATATATATATATATATATATATATATATATATATATATTTAATATTCACAATACTGTTGACAGCTCTAAGTATTCATAAAATATGAGGGTACGTGTTCTGCCCATATATATATTTAAAATCATATTATGCGAACTGGACTGTTTTCGTTTTGACCGAGTTCAACAAATTTAAATAGTATACAATTTATGAGGTTCTTTTTTACCGATACAGCTATTAGACAATATAAAAAAGCCTATAAAAAGTACAGTTACAACGCTGAAGGCACACATTGTAAATAAATACAAAACAAATAATAATAAACTGTACCACAACAATAAATGGAAAAATAAAAATATTTAAAAAATAATAAACAAACATAATAATTATTCAATACACGACGGTCAAGACGAATAATAATATTAGTCTAGTGTATTATTTTCCAACGGGGTTTTACCATTCTATTAATCGATATATATATATTTTATAAGTGTTCATCCCGTCTGTCGACTTGATGTGATTTAATTAAGCGATTGTGTTGATATATCAATTCACGGATCTATTAAATTGTAATAATAATTTATTGCAAGTGAGTCACAACCATAATAATAATAATAATAATATTATTATATTGTAACGAACATCGTCTGCTAGTGTTGGGAAAAAATGTAATTTACATAATAATTAATTAACAACGCAAATATCACTACTTAATCGCGCGACAACCTTGTATGATGGTTTTAATAAATTGTGTTGTGTTGTGCAACATTGTATATTTTTTCCCCGCCAAAACCCAATAGTTAAACTCAAAATGGAATCGAAATAATAAGCTCATTGCTGTTTACAATAACAATTATTTCCTCTCTCGTTAATTATATGTTTAAAAAAAAAAATGAATTTTCTAGTCTTGTTAGTTGTGTTAAATCAGAAACCACTTTAGAATGAATTAACGTTGTTAATAACTATATAACAACTAAACGATAAAAAATGTAATTTCACACCATTACTGTTGCTTAATATGTACGTTTTGTCGCTATGTTAATTTTTAATTGTAGAACTGTAATGGGTTTTTTTGTTGTAACAAAAACAAATAACAATAACGAGACGATTTACAATCTGATTAAGACTAAAATACTACCCATTAGTTAATTTCTTATTTGCCCAAACCGTTAACAACCGATTCCCTGGCTTGTTTCACGTCACAGTAATTTTTTTATTAAATAAAACAATATTATTTGGGCTTAAAATGTTTCCGAAAAAAATCTTAATATATTTTTTGATAACGAAAAATTCCATGTAAAAAAAAGTATTATCTTAACCCGTCCGTTTATTAAGGAGTAAGGTTTAGGCAATTTAGAGTTCAACTTTAGTTTATATGGTACTTATACTTAATACAGCAATGAGGATTCTTCATTAGACATTTTTTTTTGTCAGGCCACTACTGTAGTCGTTTCTAAAGAAAAAAATTACCATTTTGTTTTTCTATAAAATAAATCAATAAGTTCTCAGCTCCGTTTCGAAGCTAAAAATTACAAAATTAATTGTTCAGTGAAAGAGTGTTATCTTAAAGGCTGACCGTTTAAAGTAAAATTGCAACATATATATTTACCTATTGAAAGCAAACCAACTTTGATTAAAATATACTTTTTGAGTGGCAGTTTTCAGCGAAGAAGGAAGTGCTTGTGAGTTGTGTTAATAACATTGTAGTCTACATCAACACCAGTTTAATCCTTATAATGTTAATAACTATCAAAAATAACTTTTTAATAACTTTCAACAGTCATCCCTTATAATACTGGCTTTGTTTTTTTTTTAGCAGTAATGGTCTTAAGTCTTAGGTAATTTGGAAAAGACGCATTTGTCATCCTGTTTTTGACTATGCTAAAACGCGTTAGTCGAACAACCAAAACTGGTTTTATTAAAAATTATTTAAAATAGTTTCCCTTGACGGTTTGATGTATAAATATAATTTGCCCCCGCATTAGCTATTATATTTTTTAATAACTATATTTTTAAGTTAGCAAAAGTCGTAATTACTAGACACTATATTTACCTTGCTGACCTCATTCAAATGGGCATTTAAAGGTCGACCACTGGACAATGTTTAATGTAAAATTGTGTCGACAGTCTAAATGTATACAAATTATTAATTGTAATAATTACCCCAGCAGTAGTTTGTACAAAAAAAAAAACCAAGTTCCTACTACGTTTAATATGTATCACCTTGGGACATAATATTTGCATTGAAAACTCTGTCCCAGGCTTAGCCTAATGAAAAAAATAAATAAATAAGTAGCAAGTTATATTTTATTGTTAGTTGAACACGTGTTTTAGATGTGTTACTCGTTAGGTACGTATTATATTATGTAATAATAATTATTTTGAATAATTATTTTTAAAAAATATTAATTTTGATGTTAGCTCATTATAATAAACAAAATTATGTAGATTTCGATAAAAAATAATGATAAAGCCAGGTTTATTTGTATTGTATTTTTAATTTATACTTTTTTTTATGAAAAATAAGCGGTTTGAAAATGGTTTTTTTTAAAATAATATTATTTTATTGCGGTTGAATTGTTTTTATCCGTTCTCCCTTTGGCCACAAAGAGGTCTAAACACTACCCTAAACACCCAAGTGCTATTATAATGCGACGTACGTTAGTTACACCATTCAACGTCCGAATGCCATTTCAATTGCATAACTTCTAACTTAACTCCTAAAAGTAAAAAAAAACGAACCAAACTAACAACATTTTTTTTGGCCTAAAATATAATTCAGGATTAAAAATATTAACATATATTGGTGATATATTTTGGTATTGACTTTCGAGTTGGTCAACTATGTAAATTTTCTCACAAGAGCAAATAGTTATATAATATATAAAAGCTACCAGGCGAACCAGTGTAGTAAGTATTATAATATGGAAATACAGACAATGTATACATTGTTTCTTATTATTTGTATTGATTTAATGAAAAAATATTTTAATAAGAAAAAATTCAAATAAATTAGATTCAGACTTGTTGCGATACGTTCTAAGAATGACGTTTAAGTGTTTAAAAGAAACTGTCCACTCAAACTGTACACTATTCTGATTTTAAATATCAAAACCTATGTACTATCCAATACCGTTTAATAATAGATTATAATGTATTTTTCTTAAACAAATAAAATCGTAGATTAACTAAATTCGTCCAACCGGTTAGAAAATAATAATGACAATGACAAATGAATGGGTCTAGACTAGATTGTTTGGCTGGTTATTGCCTGTATAATATGTTTAAACAAAGTATTATGAAATACTGCGTTCGCCTTAATAGAATTTAAAAATTATAACATATTATAATGTATGTATGTTTATTATATTATATTAAAATATTATATTACCTATAAAGGCTTGACTATTGGATAATAAAAAACGGAATCCCACGCTGTTTAGTCGGTACACATTTCGCTTGTGCGATAACCTTCGAGTTTTTAGGTGTAAATAATTATTACTAGCGTTTTGTCCGCACACAAGTTAACATTGTAAAAAACGTCTAATTTTTTAATTTTAATTTTTCGTTTTACATCCTAGCTATTTGATTGTATATCGATAATA